TGTGGAGGAGTGATCTTGTATCATCTTTTCCCCTCTTTTTTTTCTTCTTCTTTTTTTTTCTTTTTCTTTTATATTTTTATCCTTATATATAAATATTACTTTATCCCTTTTATTTGATCTTTTATATGTATATTCATCTCTTTTATATTATCTTTTTTATAATAGCTTATCTTTTTTCTTTATTTTCTTTATTTTCTTTCTTTTCCTTTTGGTGATATCATGTATCGATTCATGTTAGCCGACCCCAATATCATTTGGGACTAAGGCTTGGATGTTGTTGTTGCTGTTGTTGTTTGTAGTCAAAATATTGGAAATCCAAAATTGGATTGTATATATTTCGGTTTATAATTGAAACACCCGCTAAATAGGTCAACAGTTTTCCTTTACCAAAAATACAACTAAAGCTTTGAAAAGGGTTGAGTTTTTTATAAATATAAAGATAAGCTTGTTATTTTTTATTTAGCATTAATTTTAGAAGGATAAAATGCACAAATGGTTCTTAAACTATCGTATTGGTCCCTAAACTATTATCACCATATTGTGTTGATCCCTAAAATAATAAATCTATCATTATAATATAATCCGTATTCTATTTAGTTATAGCAACTCTGTCCTTTTGTGTTTTTAACCGTTAATGGAATTGTCAAGGCATGGCATCTAAAAGTCACTTGTGTATAGCAACTCTTATTTAATACATTAACCACTTTAAAAACAATCACTATGAGAAAAAGACTTAAGAATTTTGGTGGAACTCAAAAAAGAATCTCTAGTTTAGGGATTCTATAATAATAATCTCTATTTAAAGTGTCCACAAAAATAATCTGAACTAGAGCCATATCAGCCCATTAGCCTCTTGTAACCCTCAAGTTAGATTTCCTTCCCTATAAAAGGAATCTAACTTGAGAGAAAAGCTAAGGCATTAAGGCATTAGAGTATAGAGGCAGAATAGGGAGAATAGTTTCCAGCTGATCTCTCTCTCTCTCTAGAGGGAGAGCAGCGGCCATTACATGATGTACCAGATTTCTGTTTAATCTATCTGCTTCTTCTTTCATTCTTATGGTTGTATGATTGTTAGAAATTGGGACTAACATTAAATAGACATTAATATGAATTCACTCAAATTTGATCACATTGCTAGTTCAGATTATTTTTTTGGACACTCTAAATAGAGATTATTATTTTAGAATCCCTAAAGTAGAGATTATTTTTTGAATTCCACCAAAATTCTTTAGTATTTTTCTCATAGTGATTGTTTTTAGAGTGGTTAATGTATTAAATAAGAGTTGCTATACACAAGTGACTTTTAGATGCCATGCCTTGACAATTCCACTAACGGTTAAAAACACAAAAGGACAGAGTTGATATAACTAAATAGAATACGGATTATATTATAATGATAGATTTATTATTTGAGATAGTTACCCCACATATGAGTAAAACTTCTTCACATTCCTAATCTATGACCAACTTAATTTTTTCCCCAAAATAATATTTAAATTCGTAATAATTAATTAATTGATTGATTAATTAAATTTCAATGGACTAATACACCCTTAGCCTATTATTATAAAACCCTAAAACCCTCATGAGAGAAAAGCTATCGATGGCAAGAGAGCGCAGCCAGATTCAGCGGCAATTGACGAGGGCTTCAACCTGCAGGGATGACGAAGATGGCTACAAGAGGATCCGGCAGGCCGCCGGCAGTCGGCAGTCACCAGGTATGATTCTTAGTAGGACCATGGCGTTACTGTTTGAGTTTTTCTGGATCGTAGTTACTTTCCTTGATCGAACGGATCCCAGGCGGGACCATGGGGTTATTATTTGAGTTTTTTCAATTCTATTTGTCTTTAATAGAGCAGATGAAGAAACTTGGACTTTAGGGATATGTGGGCAATTTTAGAACTTCAGTGCTCAAGGCTCACAACAATTCCATATTACTCTATTTGATTCTCCAAAACATAGGAATCCAAAATGCAGTGAATAATTCTTTTTAATGCAATATGTACTTCGTATATTAAGTGTGATTATAGCACAAGCTTGAATTGACAATCATTTCATATTTGCAGATTTATCCAACTCGCCGCCGCTCAACCGTTCAAAGTAGGGTTTATGGATGGGCATTATACATGTGCAGTGAACATAGACAATGATGAGTATGATCAGTAAACATGGCAATAAATATGGTTGAATATGGGGAGTGAATATGGCAATAGATAATGTTGTTAATGCGCAGTGAATGAATGCATTGACAAAGTGTGTTGTGCATTGAATTGTAAGCAATAGATTGTGTCATAACGTTGGCGGAAAGTGCAGTGATTATGAGCTAATGTAGAGCAGTAACACTGACATTAAATGCAATATATTTAATTAGACGTAAAAATACTAAAATTATTAAATCTAAATACATGAAAAAGAACTATAAATAAATTCCCAATTAAAGAGGATGAGAGGAGAACTAATGTTGGTGGAAGTGCAATGATTATTACCGGATGTGCAGTAAAGTCATGCATTAATTTTGTGCATTAACGTCAATATAAAGTGCAGTAATTTTAATAGAACGAAATTAGTGCAATACGCACATATTTTAAATAAGGGTATTTTCGTCATTCAACATTTAAATATAAACGGATTTTCTATTTGTTTTTGGATCTTTGGTCATACAAAGGTATAAAAACTAGTTAAGTCATAGATTGAGAAACTCGTCGAGTTTTAGTCATATCCCGGTAAATTTCCCTATTTGATTTTAGGGATCAACACAATATGGTGATAATAGTTTAGGGACCAATACGATAGTTTAAGAACCATTTGTGCATTTTATCCTTCTTAAATTAATGCTAAATAAAAAAAAATAACAAGCTTATCTTTATATTTATAAAAAACTCAACCCTTTTCAAAGCTTTAGTTGTATTTTTGGTAAAGGAAAAACTGTTGACCTATTTAGCGGGTGTTTCGATTATAAACCGAAATATATACAATCCAATTTTGGATTTCCAATATTTTGACTACAAACAACAACAACAACAACAACAACAACAACAACAACAACAACAACAACAACAACAACATCCAAGCCTTAGTCCCAAATGATATTGGGGTCGGCTAACATGAATTGATACATGATATCACCAAAAGGAAAAGAAAGAAAATAAAGAAAATAAAGAAAATAAAGAAAAAAAGATAAGCTATTATAAAAAAAGATAATATAAAAGAGATGAATATACATATAAAAGATCAAATAAAAGGGATAAAGTAATATTTATATATATGGATAAAAATATAAAAGAAAAAGGAAAAAAAAAAGAAGAAGAAGAAAGAGGGGAAAAGATGATACAAGATCACTCCTCCACACGAATACCCACCCTCCATTTTGCTCTCTCCAAAGTCATACCCTCATTCAATCCAAGAAGAAGCATATCATTTCTGACTCCCTTAACCCACGTCTGTTTGGGCCTTCCTCTCCCTCTCTTCCCTACCTCTTCTCCACACATCTCAACTCGTCTGACAGGTGCATCACTCGGTCTTCTATGCACATGACCACACCACCGTAGGCGCGGCTCCCGCATCTTATCTTCAATAGGTGCTACTACTACCATTTGTCTGATTGTCTCATTCCGCACGCGGTCCTTTCTAGTATGCCCACACATCCAACGTAGCATGCGCATCTCTGCCACACTCATCTTTTGAATGTGACATTGTTTCACCGCCCAACACTCTGTGCCATACAGTAATGCAGGCCTAATTATTGTCCTATAAAATTTACCCTTCAGTCTATTCGGCATACCTCGATCGCATAGAAATTCTGACGCACTCTTCCACTTCATCCACTCTGTTCTGATTCTATGGGATACATCTCCATCTAACTCACCGTCCTTCTGAATTATGGAGCCCAAGTAACGGAACATATCGCTGACCGGTATCTCCTTACCATCTAAAGTAATTCCGCTATTACCACTGCTTCTACCTCCACCAAACTTGCACTCCATGTATTTTGTCTTGCTCCTACTTAGTCTGAAACCCTTGTTCTCCAATGTTTGTCGCCATACTTCCAACTTTGCTTTAACCCCTGATTGCGTCTCATCAATCAATACAATATCGTCGGCAAACATCATGCACCACGGTATATCGTCTTGAATTGACTTTGTAAGTTCATCCATGACTATGGCAAATAAAAAATGGCTCAGAGCCGATCCTTGGTGCACTCCGATAGTAATAGGGAACTCCGCAGTCCTCCCTACACTAGTACGGACACTTGTAGTACAATCCTCATACATATCCATGATGATGCTGATATACTTGAAATGCCTTTTCTAGTTAAGACCCACCAAAGAACTTCTCGATGTATCCTATCATATGCCTTTTCTAAGTCAATGAATACTAAATGCAAATCCTTGTGAGCGTCTCTATACTTCTCCATAAGTTGCCGAAGAAGGTGAATTAAATTGGAAATGGATCCCATGTCACAGATCCAAGGGATAGGAAGAAAGAGTTTGAGATGTACGAAAATGGATTTTATGTACTCCCTATTTTTTCTGTCCCAATTTGATTTGCAAATTCCTTCAACATTTTTTGTCAATCAATATTAAAGTTAAATCCTTCATATTAATAATTAATTCAATTTTTAATAATTAAAATTTACATATTCAAAAATTACATTAAAAAAATTTCAAAGTTACAAACTTAAAATTAAAATATAAATAACAATTGACATCTTTTTTAAGTGAACAAAATGTTTGATCAAGAAAATCAATTTTACAAATCAATTTGAAACGAAAATAATATTAAGTCAGTCAAATCTAAATAAAAACTCCAAATCCAGTTAAATTAGGCAACTTTACCGAAAATCATACTAGTAGTGGTTAATGATTTAATGGACTTCACAAGGTTTCGAATCCCCGTTGGAAAGCACTTTTGGAAGCACTTTTTTTTTGGAAGCAGTGGTAAGAAAACATTAAAGGTGGGCCCAATGAAGGTGTATTTAAACCCGACATTCAAAGACACAAACTAGCACAGAAGGAATGAAATCAGAGCTCCGCAGCAATGGCGAATAGTAGTCGTATGGGACGACTCAGAGAAGGGTTTTTTCAGGTTCCGTTGTGCGGCGAAGCGCATGAAATTGAACACTCATCTAGAGACGGCAGCCACTACAGCCTTTCTACGGGCATTCTTCCTCCTCTGGGTGCTCGAAGCAACCGCGGAGTTAAACTCCGCCGGTTTATTGTCTCTCCCTATGATCGCCGTTATAGGTTAACTTCTTCTTATGCATAGAATGCATCAGTTATTGTTTCCATTCTTCAGTTTGATTCTACTGTTTTATCATACCCGTTTCCAAATTTTATACTTTTTTTAATATGAATTTCATAAACATGAAATATGGTATAATAGAGAGAGATTAATTTGGGGCTAAATACACACAAAAAATCATTGAAAGCTTAAGGTATTTGAGTATTTCTTCATTTATTTTCCGGGGGCAGCAATGGGTATACTATAATCATGATGCGTCTAGCCTCCTTAAGAATGAAGTGCCCAGCAACTGATAGATTGGGATTTCGGAACTTCAACTTGAACGTGGGCTTCAGCAACATAACGCTTGCTAAATATTCTAGTCTCTTTAGTTTTCCATCTGCAGGGAAAATGTTACAAAACGATCATCTGGGGACTATGCAGGAGACAATTTACGATGCATTTTGCTGATTATAGTTCCCCTAGGCTTCATTGCTTTGAGATGCTAAATCTTGACTGAACAAAAAAGCCTTATTGCTTATTATCCTTTGGTCTCCCTTCCTTTTAAAGAATACGCAGTATATATTGTGGTCGAAAGGGTTCAAAACTTTTACTCCAGCTAGAGCCATCCACCATTTGTTTCTTATTAACTGAACTTTGATGCCCATATGCCACCACTGCGTGTAATAGACACATGATTACTGTAAAAAAAATTGGAGCTCATTTAGTAATTACTTAAACCAAACAAAATATCCAATTGTTGAAACAAAGGCTAAAAACTAATTTGCATCATATCCAGAGATTATCCCATGAGGATTCAGCTATTGTCATTTTGCTAATAGATTGTATTTAACATGAAGTTCTGTAATGCGGAGTAATTATTTAATGCGTAGTATGTCTATTTGATAACAACAAAATTGAAGATGATCATCTCTTATCATGTTTATTATAGAAGTTGTAGTTATCTCCTTGAACCATAGAAGTATGTTTTTCAATGATTCTTCACTTTTATTCTCTAAAATAATCTCACCTTGGATAAAAATTTCAGGTCATGGGAGACTTTTCTGGCCGCCCTGGTCCTATATATTGCTTGGGTATCTCCTTTTGAATTCGGTTTTCTTTCATACCCAGCAGGAACTCTCTCTATTATTGATAATGTTGTGAACAGTTTCTTCGCAATTGACATTGTTCTCACTTTCTTTGTGGCATACATGGATAAAACCACATACCTTCTTGTCGATACCCCCAAACGGATCGCTTGGCGTTATGCAAGTACTTGGTTCATATTTGATGTCATTTCCACAATCCCTCCAGAAGTCGCTTGTAAAATCTCACCTCCTTTAAGCTTGTATGGTTTATTCAGTATGCTTCGCCTCTGGCGTCTCCGTAGAGTTAGTGCCCTATTTGCCAGGTAATTCCTTTGACTACTGTAATGAATTACTACCAATAATGATTGGAGAGTAATAGGCTGCACCATTCTCTTTTCTATAGATTGGAGAAAGATAGGAATTTCAGTTATTTTTGGGTTCGATGTGCAAAACTTATATGCGTAAGTGCGTACTGAAAATACTGTTGTTTTCTGTGAAGGGGGAATTTGATGCAAGGCTGCTGATGAAACACAATGTGATCTGTTGAGTGTAATGCAGGTTACCCTTTTTGCGGTTCATGTTGCTGGGTGCTTCTATTATTTCCTTGCTGCTCATTATCATGACCCAAAGAAAACTTGGATTGGGGCATCTATGGAAGATTTCCGTCACCAGAATCTAGGGATTCGTTATGTTACTTCTATATATTGGTCAATCACAACTCTGACGACAGTTGGTTATGGTGACCTGCATGCTGAGAACACTATGGAGATGATATTCACCATGTTCTACATGCTCTTTAACTTGGGGCTGACAGCATACTTAATAGGAAATATGACGAATTTAGTAGTTCATCGTACAAGCAAGACCAGACAATTTGTGAGCACGTCATACCATGTTGGGTCAATGAAATCATCTATTATATATCCTTGCATGGCTTGCAATGTGAAGAAATTTTTTACTTTCCAATAATTACAGAGAGATGCAATTCAAACAGCCTCAAGTTTTGCACACAGGAATCAGTTGCCCGCTCGCCTCCAAGAACAGATGCTTGCTCACTTGTGCTTGAAGTTCAGAACAGATTCAGAGGGACTGCAGCAGCAAGAGACACTTGATTCCCTCCCCAAAGCTATCCGGTCAAGCATATCACATTTTCTGTTTTACTCTTTGGTTGATAATGTCTATCTTTTTCGGGGAGTATCAAATGATTTGCTCTTCCAACTAGTGAGTTCAGATGCATATTACATATAAATGATAAAATACACAGCAATTTCTCTATATTTTAATAAAAATATTTAATAACACATTTTTTTGGTGTAATATAAGGTCTCAGAGATGAAAGCAGAGTACTTTCCCCCCAAAGAGGATGTAATTCTTCAAAATGAAGCACCAACAGACTTCTACATTCTTGTGACGGGAGCTGTGGTATTTTGTTTTTATCCTCAGTAAAAATGGCTTGTATAAAGTATTAACAAATCATATGCTAAGTATTATTTACCCTTGAAATTGCCTGGCAGGATCTACTGGTCTACAAAAATGGAGTTGAACAGGTAAGTGTCATGTGAAAACCTCCCAGATCACTACCTTTGCATGGAAGATTTCCTTATATTACATGGATTAATCCATTGGCTTCATGCATGAGTTTTGCTCTTTATGCTTCATAGTTTTGTTTGGTGTGGTTATGATGCACTCTAGGTTGTTGGTGAGGCCAAGACTGGTGATCCTGTTGGTGAAATTGGGGTTCTTTGTTATAGGCCTCAGCTATTCACAGTCCGTACAAGAAGATTGAGTCAGCTTCTACGACTGAACCGTACTTCATTTTTAAATATAGTTCAGTCCAATGTTGGAGATGGAACCATCATTATGAATAACCTCCTTCAGGTCAGAATGTCAAATTTCGTATAAATTTAACATTTTGCAGACTATAACATATAGATGTACTGGTAGCAGCATTTGAAGAATGCAAGGGATCCCATTATGGTGGGAGTCCTCTTACAGACAGAGAACATGTTAGCCCGAGGAAGAATGGACCTACCTCTCACCCTTTGCTTTGCCGCACTCAGAGGAGATGATTTATTGTTGCGCCATCTGCTGAAGCGGGGCCTTGACCCAAATGAATCTGACAACAATGGAAGATCTGCTCTTGTATGTGAACTCTAATGCTGATTCTCTTATACACGAGTACCACATTTTAGTCATTTGTGTTTGCTTTTTCCACCTTCAGCATATAGCAGCATCCAAAGGATGTGAGAACTGTGTAGCTCTTCTGTTGGACTTTGGAGCTGATCCGAACTGCATAGGTATAAATTCTACACTACATTGTAACGAATTTAGTTTCCAAAATTTGTTAATGGTTTGAAATTTCGTTCGCTTCCATCCTCTCCAGTGAACGGATCATAACAGTGGATTTTAAATCATATAATACAGATAATTTCGACATGTTCATGCATTTTCTCTCACGATATATGTGTTTCCATTATTTCACTTTTTTGAAGTCCATGTCATCTGAAACACATACATCCTATCTGTATTTTCTCTCTATTGTTTTTTAGAAGTGAAATCGAGTATGATTCATTACTGAAGCAATTATTTATCCTTAACATAGAATTATGATTCCCAGGGTTTTGTCATAATAAGTGGTGGAGACAGGGAGGGACTGGAGGGGGTCTTGCCCCCCCCCCCCAAATATATTTATTTAGGCCCCGGCCCCGGCCCCCCTAACGTGACATCTTTGGATCTGCCTGTTTGTCAACTTAGGATCTATAATGGTAATGATTAGTGCATTAATGTGCTTAGTTGTAAACTTTTCTGCATTTTCTTACGGTATTAAATATGTATACACAGACAGAGAAGGGAGTATACCGGTGTGGGAGGCCATCTTGGGAAAGCATGAATCAATCATCAGGCTGTTGATAGGCAATGGTGCTGAACTGTGCCGAGGTGACATGGGTCGTTTTGCGTGCATAGCGGCCGAAGAAAACAACATGGACCTACTCAAAGAAATTGTACAGTGGGGTGGGGATGTCACCCGTCCCAAAGCCAATAATGGATCAACAGCACTCCATATTGCAGTGTGCGAGGGAAACCTTGAGATGGTCAAGTACCTTGTGAACCAAGGGGCTGATATCGACAAACCCGAAGAAAACGGGTGGACCCCAAAGAGCCTGGCTGAACAGCAAGGCCACGAGGACATCAAACAACTATTTCTTGAGCTCTCCAAGAAAGAGAAGAACAAAACCACGTCTTATGTTGTTAATAACAATTTTATAACAGTACCCCTAGGTGAAGAAAGGAATGAGGTTCAGTTCTTGGGGAGGTTTAAGAGCGAGCCGACCATCCCTCTTTCTTCTTCACTCCAGGTGACAACTGAAGGGTCCTCAGGTTGGGGTCGATCTAGGAGGAGGACTAACACCTTCCACAACTCATTATTTGGAATACTATCAGCTGCTGCCCGAAACGGAGGAGACCAACAAGGAAGCTTGCCTCAACAAGGAAGCTTGCCTACATATCCTGCTGGGAATGCAACTGCAAAAACTGTGAGTGGGATGAAGACCTGTGTTACTGCCAGGGTCACTGTGAGTTGTCCTGAGAAAGGAGATGTCTCCGGGGTGGTTGTGATGCTTCCTAGTAGCTTCCAAGAGCTACTTCAGATTGGCATTAAGAAATACGGATTCTTGCCAGAAAAAGTTTTGAGCAAAGAGGGAGCAGAGATTGATTGTATAGAGTTGATCAGAGATAATGATCACTTGGTTTTTGCAATGTGATGGTAAAACCAGCTACACTGTCTGCCACACCACACTTTCTTTCCATTGGCTGTGGGAGGTGTTGTTGTGGCTGCTCATTAGCCTCTTCTACTAACTGCTAACTAAATGTAAACATGCCTGCCTTGGTGCAGATGTATACCAAATCACACATCCACACCATATGTGAGGGCTTTGTGCGACACGTTTACGCGCAGTCCAAGCTGATCCCCTTTTTCTGATTCTATAATTCATTAAATAGGTATGGACATACACACGTTTTTATTTCTCTGTTTTTGTTTCTCTGATCGCTCCCCTGCCTCTAGGGGTAAGTGCCGGTCAAGGACTGGACCAAAGCAAGGATTCTAAAAAATATTGGACATAAGTCTGGACTATATAGTTTTAGTCCATCACCAAATCGGTATTGGATCGGATTCGGTTTGTTAATTTAAGAAAATAACTTTTATGTAAAAACAATAACTTTGATCATTGGCTTAAATATTGAATCCATAGTTCCATTTTCAATAACAGTATGAACTATGAATAACTTCAATAAATAAAAAACGGTCATAATTTTGTTTTCCTTTCCTTTAACGCAAGTTGAATCTTTTTTACACTCCTTTCATTTAGTTTTGAACCCAAGACCTCATGTATGAAAGAGTGAGTTGTTTGGATCTGAAACTGCCTTCATTGGTTTACGTGAGTCGGCTCATTGATTTACGTGAGTCGGTTTCCTCAGGTAAGATGAGTTTTAACTATTTTATGTGATCCATTGGCTTCTATACCCTGGTAGTATATTCTAGAGAGTTTCAAAGCGCAAATGAACACTTTCCCAACCTTGGATGATTTAATTGTAGACTTTGTTGAATAAACACTTGAGTACACTGACTTGGTGAATAGTTTTGATTTATACAGAACTTCAATTTAATTTAAGTGTACCATTAAAATCATAAAATAATGGTACAATTAAAATACTTGGATTTATGGTAGATAATACAATAATGTACAAACATTTGAGGTGATAAATACGACATACATTTGTGCCTCACCTCTTCCCACAATTATCTTCCTTTTTTAAGAAAAAGGTTCATTAGTTCTCAGCTTCCAACTCATAACGTCCACCATCACTCTGCAAGCTCGCTGCCCGGTTGGAATTATTAAGCGTCATCACCTTCCCAATTCGTTTCCTGTTTACCCCTCTACCTCTTGATCTGTTCCCCTTCCTGGAATCCGCATCAGCTTGATCATCCGCGGCAGATATTCTTTTCTCACCTGACCGAATATCATTTCCCTCCCTGTTTAAATAATTATTAGTCCTGCCCCTGGATTTTGGATGGGAGGCGGTTCTGTCGGCGCTCAACAATTCTGGATCTGAATTGACACAACTCTCGAATTCTCTATTGGGGGAGGATTCAGTTTGGAATTTGAATAACTGCGGCCCGTCTTTCTCGGACCACAGGTCAAACCCTCCCGGCTTCTGGAAACGGTCAGCAAGCACCTTGAGCTGTTCGTCGGCGCTGACAGAGAAGAGAGTGGGGGCCTTCTCGACGGCCTCCCACGGCCTCTCGAGCTCGGAGATTGCGGCTTTGAGCTCCGCGCGCTTGCGCATCTCGTATATCTGGCGCTCGCGAGCCAGCCGGGCTTTGAGGAGCTGCTTTGATTTCTTCGCTTGCATTCGCTTCCACTGCCACTTGGTCACTCCTCCCGGGAAGGTCCTCGGGCCGCCGCCCATGCAAACCGTCGTGGGCTTGTTAGAGGCGGTCAGTCCGAGGCGAGAAAATTCGGTGTGGAGGAATAATAATCTTGTGGGAGATACGGATGATGAGTGAGAATGATGGATTGGCGTTCCGGAGAGGGCTGATGGAAGCAGAGCCATTTTTCGCTCAGAAATTTTGCAGATCGATAAGCAAGGAGGAGGCGTTGGGCAAAATTGCTGCTTTAGAAGAAACAGCCTTTTGCCCTCTGCGGGCTGCTCCCGTCATTTACAGCCAGTGCAGGCCCATTTCATCGTACACTCAGACAACCAATTCACAATATCCCTATCCGAAACCTTTTTCTTTTGGAATGAGAAGGGCTTACATCGATAACACATCATTCAGATACTAGGTAATTCGATAAAACAACTTCTAACCGTTGTCGTCCCTCGAACCAGATTCAGAGTTTATCGTCTCAGTAATATAACTCGATGATCTATTAATTGGTACAAATGAGGCAAAGACGATTACCGCAGTCATTTCATCACTCACATCCAAATCCAAAACCACAATCTTACAACCAAAAGTGATTAAATAACAAACAAACACAGACAAATTCAGACCATTAACATAAATAAAAGCAAAAAAATACATTTCTTCACTCAGCCTTCCAAGAACCATCGGCGGCGGTTTAGGAGGGGGGTCGGATCACCTTCATTTCATCTTCTTCCTTCATCGCCTTGATAGGCCCTTGAGTCGCCTCCAGCCAAATCTCCCTATCCACGAACGAATTGTCAGAAGACGGCACCACTCCTCGCCAAAAGATGATAGCGGACAAATAAAACTTTAGAGGTGAAACCCTATAGACAAGACGTGAATCCAGGACGATGCAGTCCTCCTCCTCTTTGATCGATGAAATATTGATCGCCGCAGTCTTCATCTCCTCCGCAGAAATCCGAGCTCGTCGCGACTCGCAAAGTTGAAGCAGAAAACGTCTTCGAAGTTTCAATCGATACTGGAATCTCATTTCTATCTGAAACTTTAACAACCCAATAACATTCAAATTATTTGAATCGGCTTATTTTACTGAAATTTATATAGTTATGAATGAAATAATTGAATTGATTACTTTTGTTGAATAATGAAAAAATTTAAAATATATTTTATTAGTAAAATAACGAAAAAATTATAAGAAAAATAGCTAAAACTATTCTCTATGGTAATCGATTTTTTTTAAACATTAATAATAAAAAATCTATGGACAAAAATATAACTATAAGTTACTATTTGTAAGATTTATAATCATTATGATGTAACTAACATTTGACATTTGCATACAACTATAGTCACTAAAGTTACTAAGATCACATTTATGTTCAATATTTTTATAGTCCCTCCGTCCCGTAATCAAATTCTCAGTTTGACTTCACACATATTAAGGAAATAAACTTACTGGGGGGTAAATTTTACTGTTTTGACACTGTTTGATCACTGTTCGGACATTATTTGGCATTGTTTGGCACTGTTTTGATGTAGAAAATTTGCCAAATAAGGAAGTGGGAAGAAGTGGGAAGTTAATTTCAGGACTGCCCAAAACGGAAAGTGGGAAGTTGTTTACAGGACGAATGGAGTATTAGTTATATATTTGGAATTCAAATAATTTTGATTTTTTTCCTCATCTTCTTACATCTCATCCTTTGTTTTTTCAGTCTACAAAACCATATAAAATAAAAATGAATAAATACTAAATTCTTCGTAGTATTCATTGCAATCGTTAGTATCAACGGATTTAAAACGTGAATTTTGCTATAGGTACTCCAAACCATATCCCATGTGTACCCTATATAAAAACACACCCCCACTTTTCTTCTCCCCTCCCTCCCTCTCTCCTGCACCCCCACCTGAGGCCACCTCTCTTCCTCCATCCCTCCCTCTCCTCTTTTCACGCACCCCCCTCCCTTCCTCTTTCTTCTACATTTCAAGATCTTTCCCCTTCTTTAAGACTTCCCATTTTTACCATCTCCCCCCCCCCCACCTTTGATCTTCTCCTGCTTATCTCCTCTTCCACCGGTGACGTTGTCGACACCGGGCCTACGCCGGTTGCCATTTCGGATGCAACCTCAAGGGAAGACAACGACGAAGGCAAACCAAGAAGCTTTGAATAACTTGAGAATCAGATCCTCTTTTCTTGATTTTGTTTTCTTGATTTTTTGATGTATTTTCGAAATAAAAATGGTTGCCTATCTGACAGACAACTTTTAAGTGCAGTGTCTGTAAGAGTCGTGATGTTGTCTGTTATTTGAAAAATAAATTTCTGTACTTGATATTTAATTGTTTGTCATTTGTTTATTAGTTGTCTATATTGTTTTGAGTTGTCTGTAATGACTTGTCTGTCATGTTGTTGTGAGGTATCTGTAAGAGTCGTGAAGTTGTTTGTAACTCATATTTAGTTGTTTGTCATTTCATTGTGAGTTGTATGTAATTTGTGGTGAAAATAATGTCTGTCTGGTTATCTCTATTGTCTGTCTAGTTATACGTATTGTCTGTCTTTTTTATGAAACATATGCGAAAATGGTAATTCACAATAAAGTAATGTCTGAATGTGTATACTTATTGGCTATATGTGTATATTTAATGCTTGTCTCGTTATATTAATTACATATGAAACAATACACATCACAAATTACATAAAACTCACAATCAAATACAGACAACTCAAAACAAATACAGACAACTCAAAACAAATACAGACATTTCAAAACAAATGACAAACAATTAACCATCAATTACAGACAGACATACAACTTCACGAGTCTTACTAACAAATACAGACACTGCACTTACAAGTTGTCTGTCAAACAGACAACCCTTTTTTATTTCGTAAACACACCAAAAAATCAAGAAAAGAAGATCCGCTCAATCATTCAAAACTTCTTGGTCTGCACCTTCACTTTTGTCTCCCCATGTATCCAACGTCACCGAGTTCTCCTCGTTCGTCCGATTACTGTAGCTCGTGTATTTGAAATGAAAAAAAAAACGGAAAAGGAGAGAAGCAGGAGAAGAAGCTTGGAGGGGGGTAAGATGGAAAAAATGAGAAGTATTAGTGAAGGGGGAAATCTTGAAATGGGGAAGAAATCAAGATTTGGAGAAAAGAGAAAGAAGGGGGAGGGGATGGGGGCTGCGTGAAAAGGAGAGAGGGTGGGAGGAGAGAAGAAAAGTGGAGGAGGGTGGGAGGGGAGAAGAAAAGTTGGGGGGGGTTTATATGGGGAAAAAAGTGGGGTAAAAACTTGGGGGAAATGAAGTAAAAGAAAAAACAAATTTACGTTCTAGAAAGAATAGTCTTGACAAGACCAATGAGACATGAAATGGATGTTTGACATTGAGTGATTCACTGATTATGTTAGGATATTGTCAATAATGAATTTAGTGAAATTTAATTAGGTGACATATTGTAAACAAAAGATGTGTGGGAATTTAATTGTTCGGTCATAGTGATTAGTAGGTAATACCCTATTTCTAAACGCGGATATTTGTAGCATTTCTGTTTCAGTAGTTTCGTCAAAAAACAGTAGGGTCCAATAGCTATTTATCAAATAATGTTTTCACTTATTAAAAATAGCTAAAAATGGTCCAACCGTTGATGTTTTACCTCCCAAATATCTTC